AAAGAACAAAGACTAAGAGAGAGACTAGATCTTTGATTAATGAAAAATTATATAGTAGTCTACTATAATAGAAAGTGAATATTGAATTTTTCAGGATGCGAACTGGTTCCAATACTGTGACTACACTTAGACTGCCAATAAAAGTGAGCAGTCATGTCTACCTCAAAAATGAATATTTCAAAGACTGCTAGAAGGTTTTTTTTTTGAACTTGAGTACTTTAAGAAAATGGGAACAACTTTGAGATTCACACTAGTGAGATGAAAGGGCTTTTAAACATTTAGTATTTAGTTGAGTAGATATTCAGGGAAAAGCAGATACTCTGGAATAATTTTCTTTTAAGTCATAATCGGTGAGTGTGAGCAGGTATATGGATTGACCCTCGTTCTCCTTGTCTACCCTGGAAGCCGGCATCCCATGTTCTTACTACCTGGAGTCCAAATTTCATGAAAACACCAAACCTCTCTTCTCAATCCCCTCAATTCCTTGAAATCCAATTTTTCACTCCCAACACTCTTCTGGCATTGTATTTGTAAGGTCTCCATTGGCCCACCAAACAGGAAATTCAATATGTGGTGTTTTGTCTCTGGCTTTACCAACTTCCCTGAAGTTCTTACTCCAGTTGATCTTGACATGCTCTCTCTCCGCAGGTTGTCCTGATGCCTCCCAAACCCTTCATCTTTCTCTCTGTCTCCTTGCTTTCTTTCGCCTTTCCCTTGGTAATAATATACACTTACATAAATCCAAATACCATTATCTATGTCAATTTTCTTAACCATGGTGTGCTTAAATTCTCAGATAATATTCTGATTCCAAGAAATAACATTTAAGCAAGAATGTTATTTCCAAGAAAGAACAATTAATAACATTAATTATTTGTAGTTATTTTTAAGATTATTTTAGCACTTACCTGTATATTTCAGAACTGACAGTTTTGATATGATAACCAAAAGTGCCAACAAAATTAACAATCTTCTACATTTTCTGCATTTATTTCTTTGTTTACTTTTCTTTATTTAAAAGTCACAGTTTTCTGAGTTGCATTTTCTCTGACATGCCTCTCATAGGAAATTGAGTTTATTATGTGTTAAGGTGTTTTTTAATGTTTGAAATCTAACTGCTAAAGGAGATAGAAATCATACACAAACTTGTAGTAAAATTTTATACCAAATTTAAGTAAAAGGCTTGAATTTTAAATATCACTTGATGCTACTGATGTTCTCATTCAAACTTTATACAGTCCTTGCAAAGAATAGTACAGTTTATAAACATATTATGTGTGTTCGTGCGCATGCTCAATCACTCAGTTGTGTCTGACTCTTTGCAACCCCAAGGTCTGTCACCCTCCAGGCTCCTCTATACATGGAATTTTCCAGGCCTGAATAATGGAGCAGATTGCCACCTCCTTCTCCAGGATGAACCCAGGGATTGAGCTTGAGTCTCCTACACCGCAGGCAGATTCTTTACTGCTGCGCCACCTGGGAAGCCCATAAATATGTTGTAGTCCTAACAAATTGAGAACCACACTGAGACATTTTTATGAGTGTAACAAATATGTATCATTAGTTCATAGATTCACTTTTGTTTTATTTGGGTAAAATAAATTTTATTTATTTTATTTATTCCATATCAAAAGGAACTTACAGTCAGTCCTGCATTGGTAAGGGTAAGAATTCTTAAAGAGTAGAGATCTCTATGAATTTTGAGATAATACTAATTTATCCTGAACCTAATGAATTCTATTAAAATCAAAAATAATAGTTCATCTGCAGTGACCAAGACTAACTCCAAGAGATTAAATCTGATGGCTAGCAAAGAGAGTAGCGTGCAGTTTGCCTGCAGGTAAATTGCCTTGTGTGAAATTAAATTCACTAGCGAAAGCAATTATTTTTCTATAATACTTTCCCTCCAGAGGGTAACTGCAAATGATATATATAGCTAACCAACACCTAAAAACAGGATGATGTAAAATGTCTTATTATCCATAAAATGCCGTAACCATGAAGGTAAGTGAATGATATTTGTAGCAAACCAACACCAAAAAAAAAAAAAGAAAAGAACATGTTTTATTATTGATCTAATCACAGGCATTCTTATAATGGAACTTTGAATTGAATTGAGGAAAATCTAAAACTGTGGAGTAACTGCCTACCAGCGTGAACTGGAAACGTTCCTCGCCTCACAATGTGGGTACCACATACAGCAGAGTAACGAGCGAGAGGGTCCGCCACTGTCCTTGTTCTGTGTGTCCTTGCTCCCACACTGGTTTTCAGGACCAGCCACCTTGAAGTTCAAGAACTTTCCATTTCACACCAGTTTCCTGTCAGTTTGCAGAGTTCCAACCTGGATGCCTTGTACTTAGGAGTGTCCTACGCCACTCAGGTGAGGACAGTTCTCTCAGTAGCACAGGTCTGTACAGAGCTGCATCATTTGTGGGTTCACAATCAGTGGGTGGCCCCTGGGTGGCTGAACAAGGGCCATATGTGGTACCCACTCAACACATCCCCCTGGCACTAGTGACAGCAAGCTCGCTGGGAGTGGAGGCTGGGAATGACCCACTCTCCGGCTCCTGAATCCTCAGTTCCCCAGCAGATCCATGTCCCGGTCCACCAACTATGGTCTGTAGGCACCCTTGCCCTCTGTCCATCCTCACCCCTCCTCCTTCCTGCTCCAGCCAGCACTGTAATCTTTACTTTATCTGGGAGCCAAGAGTCTGGTTCCTCATCTGTTCTTTTTTTTTTTTTTTTTTTTTCTCAGTATTTAACTATGTTTATTTTATGATTAAAATAGAAAGAGAGAGGTGGGATAAGGGCAATAGAAATTATACTGCGCTGATACAGAGGCTTAAATTCTAGTCAGAATTATGGTCCATACTGAAGGTCAACCATCATACTGATGGTTCCAAAGAGTCTGGTTGAGACATACATGAGTTGAGTCTCATTATTAGCCACGATAATATAGGAAAACAACTCTCAATGAAATAGGGAGTCCACACTTGTCAGGCATGCTCTGTCAGGCACGGGTAGGAAAAAGCCTGAAGTTCTTTTTAAACTATTGTTTATGACAAAAACATTATCACCTTAGTCGTTCATAGCTGACACCCTGCAGATACTAAAAGGCCTCTCTTGAGGTTTAAACATCTGCACAGGTATCTCTCTTAAGAGTTTCCAGAAGTCTGTTTTGATATGGAAAAGTCAAGGCTTGCCTTCTTTGTTCTTTTGCTCGGATATGGTGGCATTTTCTGAAGACAACTAAAGAGGAAGGATCTAGCTCCCTTCAGGGTCTGAGGAATTGTAGAGGGTTGGGCAGGGGAACAGAGGAATGGGAAAACACCACATCACAGTGGACAGTACAGACTGCATAGGATCAAGTTCTGGGTCTACCACTACATGCCATGCTGTGTGCTGTGTCGCTCAGTTGTGTCTGACTCTTTGTGACCCCATGGACTGTAGCCGGCCAGGCACCTCTGTCCTTGAGGATTCTACAGGCAAGAATACTGGATAGGTTGTCATGCCTTCCTCCAGGGGATCTTCCCAACCCAGGGATTGAACTCAGTTCTCCTGCATTGCAGGAGAATTCTTTACTGTCCAAGCTACCAGAAAAGCCCAAGAATACTGGAGTGAGTCGCCTACCCCTTCTCCAGGGTATCATCCGGACCCAAGAATGGAACTAGAGTCTCCTGCATTGCAGGCAGATTCTTTACCAACTAAGCTACCAGGGAAGCCCTACCATACATAGGAAGTTCTTTTGATTTATTTATTAATGAGGTTAGGCACTTTACTTTTCCTTTCTGTGGCCAACTTTCCTCATCTGCTTTGATTTTTTTTTTTTAATGATTGCTATACAACAACTACGACGAACTTGCTGTCTTAAACAATGGAAATGTGTATTTTCATGGTTCTGGAGGCCAGAAGTCTGAAATAAGTTTCACTGGACTGAAATTGAGATGCTGCCAGGGCCAGGCTCCCTCTGGAGTTTTAGGGATAATCTTCTCTGATCTTTCCCAGCTTCTGGTGGTGGTCAGCATTCCTGTGGCCACATCACTCCAATTGTTGCCTCCGTGGTCACCCTGTTGTTCTGTTCTTTCTTGTGTCTAGCATCCCTTTGCTTCCCTCTTAAAAGGAGTCATGTGATTGTCTTTAGGGCCCATCAGACAATCCAGGATAATCCCCCCATTTCATGATCCTTACCACAGTCATAGCTACAAAGTCCTATTCTTGCTGTATGAGGCAGAATTCACAGATTCCAGGGAGTTGGCTATAAATGTGATTTGGGGGGACCATTATTCAACTACTGTAAATTAGGATGATGATACCTGCATGAACGCATAATATATGGAAAGTGCTTAGAACAATGTCTCACAGGCAAAAATAAACTCTCAGTACATGTGACCATGATGGTGATACCAATGGCAATGCAGCAATAAGGAAACAGAGAAGAAAATTCCAACGTGGACAATATAATTGAAGGGAGGGGTGGGATGAATTGGGAGATTGGAACTGACATACATACACTACTAATGTTGTTTATAAAATAGAGAAGTAACGAAAACCTACTGTACAGCACAGGGAACTCTACTCAATGCCCTGTGGTGACCTAAATCAGAAGGAAATTTCAAGGAGCAGGAGATACATGTATACACGTGGCCAAGTCACTTTGGTGTGCAGCAGAAACTAAAACAACACTGTAAGTCAACAATAGTCCAATAAAAAACTAAATAAATAGACACGAATTTTTAAACAAATACGTCATCTCTGAATTTTTGATGTGGTGCTAACCTTAAAATGTTATCATTCAAAGAATTACATCTCCCCACTGAATAAAGTAAGCTATTTCATTCATATGACCCGTGCAGTCATGTTAGGTTCATCTTTTGTCACTCTTTACCTGAAATTTAAACCATTTCAGCAATTTCATTCATCCTGGATTCTTCCTAAGGTGAAAGTCAAAGATGTGATGTAATGTTTGTCTCCTTTCTCTGTCTTGTCTCCTGCCCGCCTAGGATACAGACCTAATGACATTCAACATCTCTGTGCACCGGTCATGGTGGCGGGAACACGGGCCCGGCTGTGTCCGAAGAGTACTGCCCCCGTCAGCCCACGGCATGACGGACGATTACACGTATGTCTCTGTCACCGGCTGCATTGTTGACTTCCAGTACCTGGAGGTCATCCACAGTGCCGTCCAAATCCTACTCTCTGTAAGTATCACGTCTGTGTCATTGTCAGATCTGGACTCTCTTTAATGTCATTTTGTATCTAAACCTTCCACCCATGCTGTCCTGGTAGATAATGCCATAGATAAGTACACAGAGAACATCCTTTAAACAATGGAAATAACAGTAATGATGCTAACATTTGTTATGCTTGATGGCAGTTTATGTCTTTTTCCTCTTGATATCCAGACATTTTTTTTTAGAACCAGTAAACTGCTATAGTTTCTAACTTGAGATGCAATCCACATAATTCAGTGCAATAGTATCACTGTCCTCCAGAAATGGTGACTGTCCATTCGGTACCATGGATTCTTCTCCTAATACACTTCTACTACTGCTACTACTCCTAATGCATTCTCTTACTAATACCCATGCGTTCTAGAGAAAAAAGGGTGGAAATATGCCCAATGTCTTTCTCAATCTAATAAACCTCATATTTCAAATAATTATTCCTTAAGAAAACAAATTCTTCCAGAGAGTCCTACACATTTTAGTGCCTAAAATTGGTTGTGAGGATACAGTTCCATTTAGAGAAATAGAGAGGAAATGACTTGACCGGACCACACAAAGCCTATGTGCTGGGAATTCCTTAAAGATATTTTCTTTTCACCAGACTGCCCCACCCACAGTTTGATCACACTGTGGAGTAGAATTAATTTAAGGTATATACCATCATCAAGAATTCTTTTTCCTTGAGATCCAACAAGGATTTGGTGTTTTTTTGAGTCAGTATATGATAGAGTCATTCTCAAAATGCTTTCCACATCCCAGTTCTTCTGTTCCAACTGGTTAGAGTCAGAACAAGAGATTCAGGTTCAATAATAAATAAATAGATGATAGAAGTGTAAAAGGTGTATGTCAATGAAGAATGGACTTGGAATTATTTCCAGAAAGAACTTTAGGAGTCCTTGTAATACTTACAGTAAACACTATCTACTGCTGTGTAACAAACTGCTCCAAAATATCATTACTGAAAACAATATCAGTGTGTTGCTTTGAGTTTTGTGGGTGAGGAATCTAGGCCATTCTGCCTCACGGATACTGGCCAGGGTCACTCATGTAAACTTTTCAACCAGGAGCTCTGCTGGGGTTACACTATCCTAGATGTCCTCACTCATATGTCTGGGGCTGGCTGTTGACCAACATTCTCCTCCACATGGCTTGTCTTTTTCAAGAAAACTTGAGAGGCTTTCTTAGAGCCAGTGAGCTGGGTTCCAAGAAGAGAAGCCCAACCTGCAAGCATTTATCTAGCCTCTTCTTGAGAGTAAAGCCTTCTAATGTCGCATTGGCTACGGCAAATCATGTGATCAAGCCCAGCATTATTGTGGGAGGGGCCTCTAGAGAGGTGAACATACTAGGAGCCATGGCTTGTTTGGGGCCATCAGTGTAGTAGTCTTACCCTCCTTTACAGAATGCATTAATTATTGTTCTTTAAACCACATATGTTAAGGTCTAAAATAGTATTTTAGAGCATGTTTGAATCATAATTTTCTAGAAAGACTTAAGACTTGAACATAAAACTCCAAAGCTCTTTTAGTGTCCTAGTTCAATTAAAAGCAAATTCTACACTGAATTCAAAGAAAGAGGTTGGACCTCAATGATAAGGAATTTTCTTTCAGAGATGTAACAAGGAATCTGATTATTCTTGGTTCCTGTATGTTTGTTGTTACTTGTCAATATATGTTTATCAATCTTTCTGTATTCTCTGGTCTTTCCTTACTCTCCTGGAAGTTACCTATGGAATTGTGGCAAAATATATGTTTAAATCTTTGAATTTAAAAAGAAAATGGAGGCAAATTTTCTTTAAAAATTTTTTCAACTTGTTGTAAGGTGAAACAGTACTCTCTCATATTTTAGATTCTAAAGGTTCTTAGTGAATTTTTTTACATTGAAACATTTTTTTCTAGAATCCTTCATATATAAACAGATTCCCCTTCTTTAAAAAATTCACAGAAAATTGCTAAACCGTTTTGTGGAGTAATGGCATGATTTCTAAGTTTTCATAATGCAGCAGAATGCTGTAGAATCAAAAAGTCCTTTCTTCATAGTAACTCCAATTCAAATGAACAGCAAGGTGAAAGTATTTATTTGATAAGAAACTGAACTGACACATAGAAAACTACATTAGAGAAAAGCACTAAATAAAGTGTGTGTTGCCACCTAAAAGTACTTGTCATTCACAAATCAATTCCATGGCATATTAGTTTAGTGAACATTTAGAACTGTCCACCTGCGCACATAATCCCTGTTATACTGTTCGGCCTTCCAGCAGTAAAAATATTAGCTGCTGATCTCTGACTTTTCTTGTGTAATATACCTGCCAGACAATAATTTCAATATTTTATCTTTTTTATGTTAAAATAAAATGTAACCTGACTTTGTCTCACCGCAATATAATTATGTATTATTGTTGTGGTTGACTGCATATGGTTTTCTTGTATTTTCTATCTATTTCATATGAATAGATTTACAATGATTAGAACTTGGATTTTTTTAAAAATCCAATGATATGGAAATGCTTCCTGTATCAGTCACTTAGCATGTGCTAAAATGTCAGTCTTGTTTCTGGGGAAAAATAAGGGGTGACGGTGGTAAGATTTAATAGCCCGTGCTGCTTGGGCAACTGCTAAGTAAACAGGCAAAGGACTCTGAGATGGGGCGGAGTCCCAGAGGCCCTACTGCTTCAAAGGTTACCCTTACAATTGCTGGAGGTGCCAGAAAATCTAGAAGTTCACAGGGAGGAGCCAACAGAGGTGGCTAGGGTGGTGGAGGAGGGTTTCAGGGCAGCAGCTCTCTCTGGCAAGTTGAGATGGAAGTGTTTGAATAATCTACCTATGGATACATTTCACCTCCCCACCCCCAACTCTTCATTACTGGCCACAGTCCATGAGGAGACATCTTTCCTCCGAAAGTTCCAGGATAGGTTTATATAGGTAATTAAATAGATAATTAGATAGATCAATAATAGGTAATTAGATAAATAGATATAGATAAATAGATAATTCATTCATTTAATTCAAAAAGATTAAAATGTGTGCAGTGAAATCCTCCCTCCTAACCTTGGGTCCCCACTTGCCCTATCTCTGCTCCCCATTGGGAGCAGATAGGATCCCCTATCTTGGCTCCCCATTGGGCAATACAACCCATTTGTTTTGTTTGTTTGTTTAGGGTTATGCATAGGATTCCAAAGTGTCTTTATGCAAATATAACAAAATGTGATTCTATGTTCTTATTTGCTCCTCAAAAGACTGCCTATGATATTCACGTGTCTGAAACTTTCCATTTTTTTACTTATTAGATACTTTGGAGCTATTTCCATATCAGTATATCTCTGTTTCATTGTTTATTTATTGATGGACACTAGTATTGTTTGACCTCATCTAAATATAATGATTTTGGGTATATATAAGATATATAATATATCTAACATAGTATATGATATATAGTATAACACAATATCAATTGTGCATCATAATTATCTATTTTGTAACTATCACACACATGTTATACTAAATAACTGTGTGCATGTGTCACTTTGAACATTTCCTAGACCTGCCCAGCTTGTGCATCCCCAGGATGTACAGGTGGCCTGCCATATGAGCACACCGTTTAATAGTCACTGAGTCTTTGGTCTGTCTACCTTCCAGAATAAAAGTTCCTCGAAGGATGAAATAGTGTCCTTTTAAACCCTGTTCATTTCTGTGGTCCCAGTGACTAGCAGAGCAATGGCACCAAATATTTATTAATATTTGTGAATATGAATGAATAAATGACCAATGGACAAGAGATTCCAAAGTCTGAAGTAAGTAAACACAACAAGAAGAATTCATTGATCAAGAACTGGCATAGATGAATTCACAGACAAAATGCTGGAACTAAAGAGAAGATACTGATCATTTGGAGGCACTCTTACATCTTCGCTATTATTGTACATTTAGTTATGACTAGATACGCCATCTTAGTGGACTTCCCAGTTCCAAGGTCAACAGGTCAGTAATAGTGAAAATGTAATCTAAGGCACTTTTTAATTTTTAGGATTCCTTATCTGTGGCTATGGCAGCCCACTCCAGTACTCTTGCCTGGAGAATCCCATGGACAGAGGAGACAGGCGGGCTACAGTCTGTGGGGTCACAAAGGGTCGGACACAACTGAGCAACTTTCATGTCACATCACGTATCTGTGGCTAAATAGATCCATACCACATTTATGTTAACTAATGAACAAGGTATTTTAAAGGAGCTCATTTTTATAAGCAGTAGACAAAGGCTCATCTCTAAACCTTTAAAATTCAACCTTATCTACATCTCGTTAAACTCACCTTGTCCTCAACTCTTTGGAGCTGATTTTATATACATATTCTCTGGAACCCTCACTGTCAAGATATTCTCTTTCATATCTGATAGGTGACGAGTCTCATTCTTTAACGTCTTTGGAGGTTGTCACCAGAATCAGAACTGGGGATCAGAGCACCCTGAGAATTGGTTTTCTGTCATGCCTGTGTTCTTTGCATTGCATCTATGTAGTCCCATCATCAGCATTCATCACTATTTTCTGTCTTTCATATCAGACACCTTCAGCTTAAGATAAATTAAAAGTCAAGAGAGAATGGTGAACGATAACAGTAGACCACAAGGTATCCTACAGAATATGTATTCTTAAAAGGATGTGTGAGCACCGGATTTGAGCTCCCTGCATCATATAGCAAGGAGCTCAAATCTCCTGCTCTCTGACAGAGGATAGAGATGGGGTAGGAGGTGGGAGGAAGGCTCAAGAAGAAGTGGACTTGCATATACCTATGACTGATTCATGCTGTTGTATGGCACAAGCCAACACAACATTGTAAAGCAATTATCCTCCAATTAAAAACAAATAAATTTAAATTAAAAAGAGAAAATGCAAACAACAAACAAAAAAGGCTGTGTGAGTATTCCATTTGCTTAGAGTACATGGCTGAGTCACAGGAGCTAATAATATTATTGCTAATT